TTTTTTTGAGAAGTTGCGAATTTTTTCCTGATTTTTGAATTTCTACGCGCGCATATTATCCAACTGAAGTCGACGTGACTATGACGGTGCGGCAGATTGGCACGTCCGCCTGGTGACATCGGGAGAGGTCGGGCCGACCACGCGACGCGCCGGGGGCCCGGGTGCGTCGTGAGGCAGCACACCCTCGCACCGCATGAATACCCGCGCCCGGGCCGGGATGTCGTCGTGCCCTTGGAGTTGTCGCGGAGGCGACGAATGTAGATCAGCGAACGACGCGCGCCCGAGTCATACGCGGCGGTGGCGGTCGTCACATACCTCGGCCGGCGCGTGTGTTTTGCGTTTCCTCGAGCGTGCTGCTCGTCCGTTTCTCTCTCAGAGAGAGAGAGAGAGACAGACAGAGGGAGTGAGAGAGAGAGAGAGGCCGCGCACTACCACCACGGTGTTTGGGCGTTGCGCAGCAGGTGGTTGTCGCAAATCTACGAAAAACTTGTGCGCCCGCCCGGCCGCCCGCAGAGATGATCCCCGCCGAGGACGCCGCCGATGTCCCGCGCCGATTGTAGCAGCGCCCGCTTCTTCACTTCCTGCCGCGAGGGAAGTCCTCGAGCCGAGCGCGCCAGAGGCACCGCCAGGCCGCGACAGTCGATCTACAGCTCTATTTGGGCGTCTTTCCTCACGATCCTCACGACGACGGCGGCAAGAGGGGGCGGGGGGGGGGGAATACTGCAATCACTCCATCGCAGTGAGGGACAGACGTATGAAGTGTGCTGCGCGTTTCGCGTCTCGGTGTGAATCCGAATCGCAGAGCCTTTCTTTGAACGGTCCGTGGGGGAAGTATAGTGGCGACGGGGAGGCGCGATAAACACGCAAAACTATCGCGACAGACAGAACAACGGGCGGCTTTTACTTCATACCGAGAGATCCGTATGGCGCGGGAGAGGATGTCGTGGGAGCCGCGACCAAGAGGACGTCGTGTGTGCTATCAGTTGTCACGGGAGAAAAGGGTGACCCGGCGACAGTGCAGTGTGGCGCCATGCAGCGCTGTGCTCTGCACCGAGCGCACGACCTCCAAAAAAAAAGTCAGGAAAAAAGGCAGATAAAACAATCAGAGAACAAATCAGAAATAAATCAGAAATAAATCAGAAATTTCTGATTATTAATAAATCAGGAAAAAACTGAAGAAAAATCAGAAAGATTCAGACAAAAATCAGAAAAAAAAAAATCAATTTAAAAAACCAAGAGAAAAATTAAGAATAAAATAGTGCAGTCCCTCGCAGTGCACCCGGGGAATGACGACAGGGACAGGGCTCTGCAAAGACACGCGTGTTGACCCGTGTGTGTGAGTGTGTGTCCGACTAGATCAACCTGCTGGAGCTGCGCGCGCTCCCCGTGGAGAAAGTGTGAATGTTGGGAGAAGAGTGGGGGGGGGGGGGGGGGGGGGGGGGGGGGGCACAGGGAACACTCGCAGCGGCACGAGCCGCTGCAGAAGAAGAAGAAGAAGAAGACGAGGGATTATTGCGAACTCCCCTTTACTTCCCCCTCTCTCTCCCGAAGTAGATCGGAAAATAGGACAGTAAATATCAACTCACACACATGTCGCGCATATGTTTTATCACGTGTGTGGATTAGTCTACAGTTTCGATGACACTTTTCTATAGCGGCGCGGCGCGCTAGAGTCTTGCTGACCTGGCATGGCGCTTTTCCCACCGCATCTTGTTTTGCGCGCGGTCGCGGTGACATCGGGCACGGCGACGAGGAGGAGGAGGAGGAGAGCCGTAAATGCATCGAGTCGTAAAGCAAAACGACAGTCGCGTCGTCAGCAGAGGGCCTCCAGAGCCTGGGCCAGGTGCCCCTTCCGCCTCGGGACTGCACTGCACTGTCATCCCCGCCGAGCCAGCCGCGGAGCCCCTGCTGGGGCCGGCGGCGCGAGGCGCCCAGGGCAAAGGGGCCCTGTTTCACCACAACAACGACTACGAGAGAGAGAGAGGGAGGGAGGGGAGGGCGGTTACAGGGGGAGGGTGGGCTAGGCACCTTCTGCTGGGCCGGGCTGGGTAGCGGATGTGTCGCAAGTCACCGGCTATGATGGCGCTAAGGCTATGCCGGTGGCCGACCCTTTTTGGGACCCCACAGCACGACCCGATATTTTTGTTTCGTGTTTCGTGTGTGATTTTAATTTTTTTAAATTAACCCTTTTCTAAGTCGCAGTTTTTAACGTTCCCCGTTCATCTCTGTGTGTTTCAGTGGTGACCGGCGCTACCGATGGTCTGGGCAAGGCTTACGCCGAGGCGGTGAGTATACTACATTGAATACAACTCTATACCTCTCTCGCGCGCGCTTGGCGCTTCGTAAGGGACCCAACCTGACGCTCTCTCTGTTTTGTGTTCAGATGGCTCGCCGCGGCCTGGACGTCGTGCTCATCAGCAGGACAAAGGCCAAGCTGGACACGGTGGCCGCGGACATTGGTGAGTAGCCTTGCCCCGCCCCGCCCCGCCCCGCCCGGGGCCCCTGTGGGCGAGCTGGCCCGTCGCGCACCACCGCGCAACGGGACTGCCGACCTCACAGGCGCTCGTCAGAGCAACGCACTTACACACCTTTAGGAGTCGCGCACAAATTACACGTCATTTTTGAGGGGTGGGGTACTTTTATCACGGCACCATATTTGAACTCGGCGTTGCAAACGCGATGAGCGTTTTGGAAGCCATGATAATTGTATCCCCGTAGGTAACATTATTCCAAGTGGGGTCACTTTATCATATCGTATAAAATGCTTCCCCTCTCAACCCTGGACTTGCATAGAGGGCCGTGAAAAAATTACCCCACTTGTGAAAATAACGTGTGTATAGTGCACGGCCCCTTACCAGCGCTCGTCAGAGCACGCTCTTAACCGACCCTTGTTGTTGTGATCCCCGCAGAGGCCCAGTTCAAGGTGCGCACCAAGGTGATCGCGGTCGACTTCACCTCCGGCGACGAGATCTACGACACGATCGAGAAGGAGCTGATGGGCTTCGACGTGACGGTGCTGGTCAACAACGTGGGCATGAGCTACCCGCACCCCGAGTACTTCCTGGGGCTGCCGGACAAGTCCAAGGTGTTCCAGAGCATCCTGCGCTGCAACGTCCACTCGGTGACCAACATGAGCCTGATGCTGATGCCGCGCATGGTGGAGAACAAGCGCGGCGTCGTCATCAACGTCTCGTCCGCCACCGCCCTCTTCCCCTCACCCCTCCTCACCGTCTACGGTGCGACCAAGGTGAGTACAGTACATTGGAAATTCAAGGGTACATAAATTTTTCTTAAAAAAAATCTGCTTTTTTTCCTGATTAGTTCTATTTTTTCTGATTTTTTTCCTGATTAGTTCTATTTTTTCTGATTTTTTTCCTGATTTAATTAGTTCTATTTTTTCTGATTTTTTTCTGACGTTTTCTGACCTTTTTCTGATTTTTTTCCTGACCGCAGGCGTACGTGGACAAGATCTCGGAGGACCTGCAGGCCGAGTACGGGCGCCAGGGCATCACGGTGCAGTGCATCCTGCCGGGGGTGGTGGCCACCAACATGAGCAAGGTGCGGAGGGCCACGTGGATGTCGCCGACCCCGGAGCAGTTCGTCGAGTCGGCGCTCAAGCGGGTCGGCATCCTGCAGAAGACCCCCGGCTACTACCCGCACTCGCTGCTCGTCTGGTCCATCCAGCTGATGCAGAGCATCTCGCCGGCGCTGTGCCTCTACATCATCATGCAGACCATGCTCAACGTGCGCGAGCGCGCGCGCAGGCGGTACCTGTCGTGAGGGGCCGTGCACTAAATACGTCATTTTCTGATGCGGGCTTCTTTTTTCACGGCCCTCTACTCGAGTTCAGAGTTAAAAGTGGAAGCCTTTTAGACGCCATGATAAAGTTACCCCACCCGGAAAAAATGTTACCTGCGGGGATACAATTATCATGGCCTTCCAAACACTCCCATTAGCAAGGCTGAGTTCAAATATGATGCCGTGATAAAAGTACCCCACCCCTCGAAAATGACGTAATCTGTGCCCTAAGGCTGTCTCCAGGGTGTCCCGTGTCCTGCCCGTCGTCGGCCGTCAGGCGGTGGACCCACATCGTACCCACAGACTGAATATTAGCTGAATGATGATATCTTGCCAAGGGAGGGGCAGTTTAATGTGATTCATATTTTGTATATTTCACTTTGTTTAAAAGCTAAGCATCTAAATTTGAACAGACATATTGTCGCACCAATTAGGGGCTTATTCGGATATGCAAGATAATCACAGTTTAATTTTAAGTGTTTTGCTAATTTATCAGGAACGATGGATTTGTTGAGGACTTTTCATGACCAAAGAAATAACATCTGTAGTAAATTAAAACTTCTGCAGACAAGCGAAGTATTCAAAGCTGTGTTTGTGGAAACATGTGACACGAGAAGAGGCCATCCGCAGTTTTGGAGAGGCAATAAGTCAGTCAATGGTCACTGCCCACAACTTGTTATTCTCTCTGTTTTTTAAATGATTATGATGTAAGTAATTATTATTTTTGAGAAAGTGAGGTGTTACATGCAGATCTAATAAATAGTTTTTGCCAACATTTGTAAGCAGTGTTCTTGCAGTATTCAATTTATGGTTCAGAACCATTACTAAGAAAAGTTTTTGGTGATTCCCTTCTGCAGTCGAAAAGGGTTCAGCAACCTTCAGACCAACCATTCGTTGACTATAAGAATATTTTAGGATAAAAAAAAACACTGTTTGAGTCATTTTCACTTTATTTCTTTTAAGGATACTGTAATCTATGCACAAACAATGATAACACTATGCTATAGAAAGCTATAATTCACAATTTAAAAACAAAGTAAAAGCTTCCCAATAATCACAGTGCTATAGAATAAACCATTTCACAGAAATACCATTAAAAACACACAACAGCTTAGTACCTAATCATTATGCGCTTTATAAAAGTAATATGTACACATATCAGAGGAAAGATCAGTTCAATTTCAGTTTTGCTAGAAAAACATTAAGAATGAGAAATGGTGTACATTTCAGCTTAAACACAATCATCTGAACTTCTGGTCATGACTATGAATAATGACGATTAATTAACCAATCTTAAAATATATGACAATTGTCACATGTCACAAATATTTTCATAAAAGACTCAAATTTATTAGCTCCTTTTTATCTAGTGTCAATGCAAACACAGATTACATTGTGCTTGCACAACAAGCATTTAATTTCATGAGGCCTGTATCGTTTAGACATAAGAGGAACCAGAGAGTGCCTTTAAATTCATGAGCGGTACTTTTAAAAAAATGAATAATAAGTTATCAGTCTTTTTCTACCCACAGAATGAAATGCGAAACAATGGAAATTACATCCTGAACAATTGTAGGTGCAAATAATAATATGGTAGGAAGTAAGATTGAAGTAAAATAGTTGGAAGTTTACCAAAGTGGATAGGATGATATATAGATGACATCTAACTAAGCTCAGGATAGAGGAGAAGAACAAGTTACATTCTAATGATCACAATCTACTTGAGCATCTCCTCAGAGATTTTACACAACGTCATTTTCCTGATCATAATATAAAACTTCTTTCCCTCCTTTTGGTTTATCCAACACACTTTCATAAAAAAATGTGAGTGATGATGCACAAACTTGTCACAGTTGAAAAGGCAGCATTACGATTTATCTATGACAGATACATTACACATATAGAATACATAAAGCTATACAGATGATAATTTTGAATGAGTAAAATTAATGTTCCAGAAGTTCATGCACAAAGTTATCTAAGTAGTACTTCCCCAAGGGAGAAAATGTGTCAAGATAATGAAGTACATAGTTTATTAAAGATATTGCTCTACAAAAGGTCCTAAAAAAATCAGCACTACAATAGAAAATTAAAGGCACTAAAAATTAGAAAAGCCTGTCAAACATGATGCATCATTATTAATGCTTAGTCAGATTCCGTGAAGCGAATAATTAAATGGTGGAGGGAGGTCAAACAAAATAAGCTCATATGATCGTCAGAAACCGGAAAAGCAAAGCTTGTAAAAACAATGGTAAACCAACTACATTTTTATGCATAGTAAAAAATTGTAAAGAAACTTCTCATACCATTCATATGTTTATAGTTCTCACATAAGCACTGAAAATATTATGATACAAATCACAGTCTACCTAGATCTAACATCACACCTGTTATACATGAAAATGCCAAGATGCACTAGAGATTTTACCTTTAAATGCACCACAAAGTAACAAAGAAACATTTATGATTTAATTAATAAGTATACAATAATGAATTTGAAAAGATAAAGAACGGTTAGATCACAAAATGCACTGTGTTCAGTTAGACATTGATAAAGCACAGCAGAAAATTGTAGTTTCCACTTTATTTGACTTTTGTAAAAAAGAAATTTTCCTTCACAAGAGTTCATTACTATAGCACCTTATTAGTTCCAACAATAAATTCTGCAAGTGAGCTGTGTACATGCGTACGGGAAATTATGACAGTGGGACAGGAACACCTTTTTTTGTCTTTCCACTTGTCAACAGCTGGGATCCATCTCATCTTTTTATGAAGCAGCACAAATGAATAGGCATATGCTGTAGCTATTGACAGATGATGTGTATTTAAATTTGGAAAGCCTATAACTACATGGACGGATCAACAGTCACGGTGATTGCACAATTAAGAAACAAAAGTGTATTCATGTTTCCTTGGTCTACCTCACATACTGCAATGTCTACACACTGGCCTGAAAGCTGAATTTCGTAAGCAATGGCATTTATATCAAAACTATCAGCGTACGAAAACAAAAAACCTAGGTAAAAACCTTAACTTAAAGAAAACAACTGCTGCTAATTTTTAACTATATTCTACCAACATGATCAAATACACAGAAAGCCAACAGGATCTACACCTCAAATAGTTTGAACAAATTATAAGGGGATATCACAACACAGCAGAATGCATAGATTTACTAACTATACAAACCATTTCTCTATTGCAAACAGTAACAAAGACAAGATCTGAGCACGTGCTGGAACTGATAACCCATGCAGAATAGAGCAACAACTTCTTTAAAACAAAATGTTGCATCTTCAGAACATTGTTTAACAGCAACCCATTTACAATGTAAAAAGTTTCTGTGTTAAAGATATGTTTTCCCCTATATAAGGTATTTGATAATGAGTTAGCTGCATTAACTTTCTTGCCAGAAAAACTCCAAAGATCTGACTACAAATTCAGAACCAACTACAATGCCCAATATGAACAAAATGGAGGATACTATAGTTTGGCCCCAATTAAGCACCTTGCTAGCTTACCAGTGACATCGCTGCTCAGTAAATAGATGAACAAATCAAAATTAAACTGAACAGCAGTGGGTAAAACTCCATTAAAATAATGGTAGAGGTATGGCCAACACTTATTAAAAATACACTTTCAATTGACAAAATCACACTGTTAAATAATAGCTCTTTACACAAGTGCCAAGGGGAAAGACATGAATTGATATCAACTGCACTTCTTTTTCAGTGTCATGGAACTAAATTCTAACCATTGACTATCAGTTCGTATTACATATGAAACATGTTGCGAAGTGTTTATCAATTGTTAGGCAGCCATTTACCAAATAATATCTTCTAATTTTTTTTATAACAAAAATTAAAATTAAAATCAAATTATAATAAGAAAGAGAAAGTGTAAATAGGAACTTTTCTCCCTTCTATTTCATCAAACAGGATCGTGAAATACCTCAATCAGACCAAAAGTAATCAGACTATGCACAGCTAATTTTTTTTAACTACTTTCCTAGGACAACAGAAGATTCAAATAAGCACTCTTCAATCAAGAATAGATAGAAGAGCAGCAGACAGAAAACACTCATAATCACATGTTTAATATAGGAAGCAATGCTTACAGTCCAGAAACAGAACATTAAGTCTTGAAACAAAAGACTAGGTCTGAATCACGAGTGTTCATTATTTTCTTTGTGCATTTATGAACAAAGAAATATAAACAACAGAAACGTAAGATTGAGCCTTCAGGTCAATTAAGACCTTCAAGTTGTCTTTAGCCTCAGCAACAATGAACAGCAAGACTCAAAACAAAGTCTGAACAAAATAGGAAAAAAAAAACATACCAAGGTATAAAATTGTAAGCTGAATCACGAAGAGAGCAAGCATTATTCAACACTAATAGGAGGTACAGATGTCATACAATGAAAATACTAGTGTAATTTAGATACTAATTGATACTCTTAAGTATTGTTAACAGGAATCAAGAAAGGTAGCCAGTACAAATATTCCAGAACATTCAACACACACAGGCAAAATTGAGGTAAGGAGGAAAAAAAGTGAACTTACAACTCATAATCTGAAAACTCTTGAAGTCTTTGAGGATATGTTATGATAAAAATATTAAGTAGGAAACAATCAAATGATTAACAGAACTTAAACAGACTGTAGATCAACACACACAAGCTAGAAATGCAGATTCAGAGTTGAAGTTCCATTGCAATCATAGAATCTTATAATGATCAGAAAACCCAATTCCAAAGTGTACAGAGATAATTTTAAATTTTGCCTGAGCTAAAAGTGTAAGTAGGTATAAATGAGAACATGTAGGTTCTGTCCATATTCAGCATGTGTAAAGTAAGCAATGTCCTCAGCCTAAAATTCAAATGAATGTGAAATGAAAACACCCCACATACAATACCATTTTCAATTAGGAACATTAAAAAAAAATTATTATACAGTAATTATGCAAAGAACAAGATTACAAAAGAGATAAAAGAAATTTGTAAAGCAGGAGCACCTGGTGACTTAAAATTTTTAAAAAGTTTCAATTTGACTTCTGATTAATGTTCTGATCATACAAAATTAAATTCAGTAATGTGCTTTATACAAGAGACAAACGGCAGTGAAAACACATAAAACAAAACAAACATAAGCATGTAAGAAAAAGAGGATACATGCAAGTTGGTCATTATCACATTTGATTATTTGCTAAGTATTGCAAATAGTGTCATTTACAGGCTCAATGGTAATCATCAATTTAAAACTTCTCATAAAATGTTGCGTTTAAATAAGATACCAGAAAATTTAGCAATTATAAAGATCCACAATTAAAACAGAAAACAATAAAGCATAACCATACTTTCAATTAAACAGAATCAAAATGCCAGACTACTGCAGTGGACTAATTGAACTTGCTAGTTATACATAATGAATGAAGTGTTGCAGCATTGTTCACAAGTATGCTTGCACATAAGGCAAGCTCTCCATTTCCAATTGATAAAAAATACTTAAAACTATTATGGGCAAGATCAACCATTTAGCTTGAGTCACTGATCACTTTAGCATATACTTTAAATAGATAAACAAGCTCACTAGTACTGTTTAAAAGCCTGCACAGGCACACTAGAAACTTGTTTCTGAGATCGCAGATCTTAAGTTTAAAATCTTTCTTAAAAACATGATAGCTATAAATATCATACAAACAGGCCTAATAAGGAGCAGCACTCCTCCTCCCCGAGATCACATATCGTTATGAAAACGAGCTGTTGGGAATTTGTGGCAACTTTGTCGATTGATGTGACTGGTGAGAATGACGGGAATGCATTGTGCTTGAGCGGTCCCGCTCCCTGTCCTCAGCTTGTTGGTTGGTCAACTTGTTGGTTGATAAGCAACTACTTCCTAAAGGGTTTGTTTTGCTTGAGTTTCTAGATGAAGAGGCTGAAGTGCGTAAGGGTTGACATTCAGTTTTTTCATCAGGAGCTCTTGGTAACCGGCGGCGAAGCCAAACATGTCTCAGAGCACTGTAAGGCGTCATTCTTTGTTCAGGATCCCACTCCAGACAACGTCTGAGGAAATCCATGAACTGATGATCCCCTCGACCTTTGAGAGCAACATATAGTTGTTTGGAGCCAGGAGGTCCTCTTGGTTTTCCTCTCCGTGACATGCCACTTCCACACACTGCAGTCCCATCAGTGTGTAAAGTCACAGGGCAATAGCGTGGGTAGCCCTTAGAGCTGAAAAAGGTTTTAGAGTACTTTCCTGCATCAACTAACGTTCCTGGGGGCATACCTCGTAACTCCATTATGCAGGCCAGTTGATCCCCTTCATCTTCTCCAGGCAACAAGGGACTACCGGTGAGAAGTTCTGCCAGGATACAGCCCAGACTCCACATGTCAATAGGCATCCCATAGCGAGCCCCCAGTATGACCTCAGGGGCCCGGTAGAAACGGGACTGTATATAGGTATACATCCGTTGAGGCTCATAACAACTTGAGCCAAAATCTATCACCTGCAATGTGTTCCAGAAAAAATTATTGCTCTGTCATGGAATCAATAAAAAAAATTATGAACAATCAGACTAAAAGCACTAGGTTACCTTTATCCCACTGCGACTCTGTTGCTTTAACAAGATATTTTCTGGTTTCATATCACAATGAATTATTTTATTTTGATATAGAGCATCTAGACATTGCAGCAAGCAATAACAAAACTTCCGAACTAGCTGTAAACTGAAGCCTTGAAACTTATTCTTCTTGATTAGTTCATACAAGTTTATAGAGAGCAATTCAAATGTTATGCACATGTGATTTCGGAATGTGAAATGATCAAACATATGAATAATATTCATTGTATTGTTGACATCCTGTTTCCGCAAGTCTTCCAGAATCCTTACTTCTTCTTGTGCTTGGCGGTGGAATCGCTTCTCATTGCGAACCATTTTTAGGGCAACATGTTCATGAGTTTTGTGGTCGTAGGCCTTAACAACTTGACCAAAACTGCCCTTGCCAATGACTTTCAGGACTTCGTACCTGTAGGCAACATGATCATGAGGCACATGTATATACGAGCCTTGTTCATTGTCATACCCATAATTGTTGGGAGCTCCAGGAATCCCAACAACTTTCTCGGCGTTAGCTCCAATGAAGAAAATTTCGGGGTAGTTATAAATCTCATACTGCTCGTAAGGCATCAGTTTGCTCCTATACACTTTCATAACCTGCTCTGGAGTTGCAGCTATTGCTTTCGGCTTTACAACAGTATTCTTGTTGGGTGCAGGACTGTTTGGGTCTTCCGTCGTGCTCTTGTAGTGAAGAGCAGGAAGAACAGTGGCAGTTTGAGTTTCCCCATTGGCTGTCGGTGCTTGCTGAGGAGTAGCCAAAGGCGAGTCTTGGGGTGTCGCCAGGGGCGACTCTTGCACTACCTTTAAGGGAGGCAAGTGGTTTCGGTTCTCGGAGAGATGTGTCAGGCAATCACCTGCGCCGTTGGATCCGTTGAGGTTGTACACCAAGGTCTGAGATCGCGTATTGGGCATGTTGCTTTCGACTACACTGCAGGTCGTCCGGGATATTTCTTTCAAACGGACTCCAGCCATACCCTGGTTACAAACCTCCAGCGCAACCAGCCGCTAGCCGCCACCTAGAACTGAATACTAGGACCAGGACGGGCGATTGAGCAGGTGCTGAGAGGGGTGCAGTCTAGGCCTAGTTTCATGACTCAATCCCTCCAACACTGGCCGCCTCCCGTCCGCAGAATATTGTTCCCGGTGCAACAAGAACGCGGCATCCTCTTGAAGAGTTCAATCCACGGTCGCAGGATGGCATACATTTACTATTTCTGATGTATATTATTGTCCCACCCGTCCATGGTTTAGCCTCAACAAATTCCAAGCACTTGAGCAGGCTGGCCAAAATCCTTTCACCAATCCTTTGTTATGGTTAAAAAATGAGTCATAAAGACTTGATGCTCACACATATTCCTGTTTCTCCACAGCCTCTCTGGTGAAGAGTAAATCACTTGCTAACTTTAGTGGCCCGTTTAAATCCCCGTGTCGGAGAAAATACCCGTCTTCATTGATGAAGCATATCTTTTGGGCACGAAATTCTGATGAACTATACGGGAGGTATAGTGCACCTGTGGTTTTGTATGACGTCATTGGCAAATACGTATATTTTACGAGTTTGCTGTAATGCTGCGATAAATATTCACGTATAAACGGGACAAGAAAGTATTGCAGGAATCGAATGTCGCATTTTGGACGTTCGATGAGCCTTGGAAGTGCAAAGAACCGCGTTTTCGGAATTTGTGCAAGATCTACCACCTGTCCTTATCCATAACCGTAAGGTTGGTACTTCGTAAGATGTACAGTCGACCAGTCGACAGTTGCAGTCGATTCCCGTAACGCAACGCACGGAGCTTTTGTTGTGGAATATTTTGATCTGTCATCACCATTGTGTTGCCTTTTAGCCGTTGATCTTCTTTGATCATCCGAAGTTAAGATGACGACTGCACCTGCTACTACTGAACAGAAACCCAAGGTTGATCTTGGTATCCTGGAGGAGGATGATGAATTTGAGGAATTTCCTACTGAAGGTAAAGCAGTTCAACACGGTACCTCCCAACGACCGTTCATGTTATTTCTCTAAGTATTTTTAAGAAAAATATCGAAACACGCCGTGTTAATATTAGTGGTTACTAGTAGAAAGCCTTGAGTGAGTGAGAGCTACCTGGCTACACACCCTGGTAGATCTTCCATTCATAGGTTATTAAACTTGACATATTAACTTTCTGTATGAGTGGTTTCATTAGGTAACCTCTCTTAGCACAAGCACATTTCAAGTCCTTTCCTTATAACTTATCTTACCTGGAAACTCCTACTTGGTTTTGATTTAATTCACATTTAACTATTTTGTTTTTCTCAAGACTGGGCAGCTCGTGACGAGGATGAAGAAGACATCAGTGTGTGGGAGGACAATTGGGACGATGACAATGTAGAAGATGACTTCAGTCAGCAGTTAAGGTTGGTTCTTGAATCTAGTCTGATTAAAATTTTAACTATGTGAGTGAGCCTACACATTTTTCTTGTATTACAGGGCTGAGTTGGAGAAACAAGGGCAGGTGTTGAATGTGTAATTGCCCATTAACGATTTAAGAGAACCTGGAAGGGATTTTGTCATTATGTACCTGTGAGAAGGCAGTTCATCTGCCAAAGCCCTTGTTTTATAGACTTTAAATGCTAATAAATTAAAAAAGAACTAAGATTGTGTTTATTCTCATGAATTCCTGTTAGTATCCTCCAATGCTGAGAAGTTACAACTGGGGCCTTGAATTAACTAGTTGAAATGCCATAAGAGCCCATTGTCCATGACATTAAGAGCAGTAACAATGAGGCTCCCTTCTGTTACTCTGGCTAAAAGATCTATATGTGGTATAAGATCTGTTTTAAAGACCAGCAAGAATAGCCCAATTATCATTCTAAAAAATTTCCAAAGCATGGTCTGACTTTCATCTTAATCTTAACACCAAAATAAAGACCATCATTGATAAAGCCTCCTGCCTCTGAATTGTATGAGGCAAAACCTGCCTGCCTGTGAGCTCAAAGTATTATTACTGCACAGTGAGCCCAAATAAAATCATGTCAATGTGTTGAGAGGTATAATCAAAGCTCAAATTTAGTCCGCCTATCTTTATTAGATACAAATCTTGAAGGATAGATGGATAAACGACAAATATCCAATTACTTCTTGTAACCACAGCTCTTCCTCCTGCCTCGGGCACGCTCGAACTTGCGGCCCTTGGACCTGACGTAGGGCTTGGTGTGGCTGTGTGGCACTCCAGGAGCAGGTCCGAAGTGTTTGACGGCCTCACGGGCGTTACGGCGACCTGCAAACAACGTAGTATAAGAACATGGGAAACGGAAAACGCAAAACTAATTTGTCCCTCCCGAGTCTAATGTGAGGAACCAAGAGGATGGGATCCAGATACTGGGCATGTGGACACCGAAGGCTGAATTCCTCCTACTTCTGTATCTCCCACAAGCAGTCATGCTTTGCCAGATGACGCAAAGGCATGCCAAGAAGGGAGAAGATTCAAAAAGTTCAATATTGGCCATAAGTCTATTTAAGAGTAACACTGTAGGGAATCAAGAGGGTGGGATCCAGATACTGTGAATGTGGACACCGAAGGCTGAGTTCCCTCATCTTACTATTTCTCCCACAAGCAGTCATGCTTTGCCAGTTGACGCAAAGGCATGCCAAGAAGGGAGAATTGGGTCAATGTGTAAAATAGGTCAAAAGTTCAGAAACATTTAGTTGTAGGGAATCAAGAGGGTGGGATCCAGATAATGTGAATGTGGACACCGAAGGCTGAGTTCCCTCATCTTACTATTTCTCCCACAAGCAGTCATGCTTTGCCAGGTGACGCAAAGGCATGCCAAGAAGGGAGAAATTTAAGCTAGACTAGCTTTGAATTCAGTACATGAGCTTGACTATTGTTGGGAATCAAGAGGGTGGGATCCAGATACTGTGAATGTGGACACCGAAGGCTGAGTTCCCCTTTTACTTTCCCTCCCGTAAGCAGTCATGCTTTGCCAGATGACGCAAAGGCATGCCAAGATGAGAGGTACTTGTCACTCGTGTAAAACTGAATTCAAAGACATGAGTGGACAGACACCTACAAAGACTAAACCAAACAGCAGATACATACCTTGCATCAGCACAGTGTTCTTGCCAGTGGGTGCCTTAAGAGCCAGCTGATCAAAAGTGATGATCTCACCGCCAGCCTTCAGAATCCTAGCACGGGCCTTCTCAGTGACATGAAGAGCGCACACCTGTCATGACACACAAGAACCTTAGACAATCTGCAGCACGCTGCATAAACAGGTTCCCTCGGCAGGTGCCAAATACTTACTGTAAGCTTAGGGACTTCATAGATGCGCTGGTCGTCGGTCACGGAGCCGACAATGACTGCAATACGGCCCTCGCGGCCGGCCTTCTTCATGAAGCGGGTAATGCGGGCGAGTGAGATGGGAGGTCGGTTAATTCTTGACATAAACAGCCGCTTCAACACAATGGAGTTAAACTTGGAGCTGGTCCTCCTGGCCAGGAAACGGTACAGCTGCAAGAAAAAAACAATGGTGGTGTTACGCATTCGAGTCACGCTACGTACCAACCGAGGCCGGTAGTGGGATACCTAACCTAATAGTCCACGCATCGACGCATAGAAAAACAAAGTAGCGGACAAGATAGAAACGTGCAAGAAACACCAATAAGGACGCAAATGTCCAGGGGTAAAACAGAACTCGCGAGAACAAGATACGGGCATTTTAAAACGTCTTAGACGGGGCAACATGGGCCGCGGAAAAAAGAAACTTGGTTAAAGAGACACACTCCGAACTACTTGAAGTAGCAAAGCTCAGAGGGTTATTAGATACGGAAAACGCAATTTTACAGCAAGTATGAGTATAACGTACCTTAACTAAAAGCCGTAAGTAAACATCCTGGGACTTCGGCTCGGTCCTTCGGACCTTGCGGTCGTGCTTGTGATTGATGTCGATACCCTGAAATACACAATAATGGGAACTTGAGAGACATACGCGTATGAGAAGGCGATCAAATAAAATCCACGGCAACAACAATTTATCGAAATAAGTAATTTTTGAACGAAATTTGAGGATGATAAAGGATTAAAGTAAGGCGTGCACCACGTACCATGTTTACTAGGTCCGAGTCCCGGAAACGAAGATCTGAACTTCGTTTTCGTTCTTCTTTGACACCTACAGCCTTCTTTCCGCAGCGTTCTCTTGGTGGTTGATGTTCTTTTCTTCTTCTTTGAGCGGGTGGCTTTCAGTACGATAGGAATAATTTCACGCAGCTTTATTAATGTAATTGACCCGATATTAGGACAACGAACTTTAAAAATTGAGACAAAAAATATTTCCGATAGCGGTAAAAGTAAAGTTGTTGAGTATCTCCGACGGAAAGGGAAGTTCACTATAGTTAGGAATGTCACTGTCCCGATCCGTGACCGCCCCGACCCCGATGGAGTCATAACAAGTAGTTGTGTTGTGATTGTGAGTACGGTTACTAGTCGTTTCAAAATATTGGATTGCTTTCTCCTACAAGAAGTGTCATGATACATGTCACTGATGGAAAATAGCATTCGAAAATACTGTTTTTCGTATTGAACATAAAGTTCACACCCCCTTCGTTACATATATTTGTGTGATAGCCACTTATTTGTTTTCTTTCACTCCCTCATTGGACCTTTCGAAAAGCAGGTTTAGTTTGCTTTTAGTTATGACGTCTCGGAAAAGAGGCAGAGACCCACCCGTACGTTATGTTGTGGGAGCACCACCTAGCAAAATGGGCCGGGGAGAATTCTCAGATCTTGAAGATGCCTTACTTCTAGGTGCATTATTAAAGAATGGTCCTCTCAACACCGCCAAACTTGTTGAAGCAGTCCCTACTAGAAATGAGTATCAGGTGAGATGCCTCAGCTAATGTTTTGACAACCTATGAAGGTTTTGCTTAAATTTAATCTTTTTTTCTTTTCGCCAGATAAAACACAGAATAGCTGCACTTCAAAAGAAGGCCCAACTATCTCTTGTTTCTGTTCGTAAGGAGGCTAAAAATGGAACAGTGAAATATGTACCTAGAGAAAGAGTTGCGCTGGATCAATGGATAGATCATTTACTTGAACTTCAAGACAAGGCTCAAATTGTTAATGGCAATCAAGAAGAGTTACCTGTACGAATGCTTGCCCGGGCCTTTGGACTGATTGCCGAGTACGAAGAGCATCCCAACCCTATGGAATGTGGTGGAGTGAATCTTAAGTAAATAATTAATTGAGATATCATGTGATTTTCTCATTTGTCTTTATTTTCAAATGGTTGTAAATTCAGTTTTGTTCTCATTTTTTTTAAAGGAATATCTATGAATTCCTTGAGACTATGATGATGGGGTTGCCTTCTAAAGATCTTAATAATGCAGATGCTAGATTCTTGATTGAGAGTCTTCAGCGTCTGTCTAGTGTATTGGACAGTGAAGATATTGAAGGTGAAAAAAGTTTTGTCATGTGTGGTAAGACCCAGTGGCGCTCAAAGGGTGCAAGACCACGCACATATTCAAAAGCCCCTGCCACTATATCATGTGTAAGTTTTATCTCTTCGCTTTGTTAATGAATCCATCTGTTTGTTTTGTTATTAATCGCGTTTTTGGTTTTTGCAGGATTTATTAGATGAAACTCTTCAATTTCTTGATACCGACAAGTACAATCCATTTCAGGTTCCATTAGAGAAGTTACACAAAATTATTGACCTACAGAAAAGTGACAAATAATGTATTGTATTTTCGATGGAACTTGAATTTTTTTGTTTTGATGAGTGTATATTTTCTTATGTCGTGTAAAGGATAGGATAGTAAAAATAAATTAATTCGTTTTTCAAGTCATAGTAATGAGTTGATTTATTTCATGGTAACTTGTTAGCCAGCATTTTAGCTGACTGGCAGTGAGACACTCCCAAAATTTAACCATTGAAACTACAAAAATGGAATTTCTCTGGAAAACCAGATGACCATCACCAAAAGAGAAGTTGAAACATTCTCAGGTAGGAATGACAAACAAACTCCATCACTGTGGGGAGGTTGCTTCAGTCCAAACTGAGTTCATTTTCATAAAATGGAAATTATTAGGTATATTGCCTTTAACAATGATAATCCTGACTCTCCTGAGGGAACTATGAGGGATGGCTTAAATTTTGTAGGTCTATACTAGTGCTTCATTGAGCTCACTTGAACATAATTGCTTCTACTGGAAGTAGGTCCAGCCTAATTCCAGACTAATCTACAATTTCATGACACAAAAATAATAGTAAAGCATCTAGAAAAAAAAATAATCACAATTGTTTTTTTAGAAATAAAACTGAATGAAATACAAGTCACATGTGCATTGATCCTTAGATTTAGCCAATCTTTCTCCACAAGTCAACAGGAGGAGTGAAATGATTAAGTTAATGAGAAAGAGATAAGTGAAAGGTCAAGAAGATAGAAAACTGAACCCTGATTTCGGCAATTTGAGTATAATAATTGTCGCTCAGGGTTAGGGCACAAGGGCAAGTAAAACATGGAATCAATTGGCTGCAGCTAGGATTTGAGGACAATTCGGCAACTCGCAGTGAGAAGAGGGTCCACAGCTCTGGTTGGAATTGCGGACACGAGCTTCAAAATGCTCGAACAGAAGAGGCTTCTGACAGTAGGTGCAAGACTGCAAAACAGAAAGTAAAGTTAGAAAATAAGCAAATGAATTCAACAAAATTATATTTGCGGTATTGCATGGAATAACAGACCTTGGGGCAGGTATTCTCTGACAGCGGCATGCCAAGATTCTTCCAAACATACAACATGTCAGTTACCAAGCGGTCAACCATAGGTTTCGTATGGTGAGGAGTCGGAGCCATTCTCAACTTTTCCTGGCCTCTTGGCACAGTAGGGTAATTGATTGCTTGAATGTAGTGTCCGAAATTGCGGAGCAATTCATCACAGACCTTGGTTCCAAGAAGAGGATCACCAATTCTTACAGGAATAATGTGAGATGGCGTGTGCTCAACAGGTAATCCGTTGGCTTGAAGTTGAGATCTGAGGTATCTAACTATTTCCTGATGCTGAGCACGCAACTGCCGCCCTTCTTCTGAGGCTAAGATTTGCACTGCCTTCCTTGCACCAGCAAGCACATGTGGTGGGAGGGATGTTGTGAAAATAAAACCAGCAGCATAACTGCGAATCATGTCTACAAGGTTAGAACTTCCTGCAATGTATCCTCCAATATTGCCAAAAGCTTTCCCTGTAAACAGAAGGATGTTTTATAATCAAAAAGAGTTCTTCATGTCTAGTTATGGAACAGTCTGTTAAAATTAGAAACCTTACCCAGAGTTCCAGAAATGATGTCCATGTTGTGGAGCTGATTCTCTCTCTCACCAATGCCTGCTCCATGTTCCCCATACAAGCCAACAGCGTGGACTTCATCAACAAAAGTCAAAGCGCCATAACGATGGGCTACATCACATAATTCTTCTAATGGGCACACAGCACCCGTCATGGAATGCACAGTTTCAAATGCAACAATCTTTGGCAGATTTTTGTCAACCTGAATGGAGGAAAAACAATCATCAGTTGTACTCATCTTTTTCAAGTTAGTATTTGTTTGAGAAAATTATTTTTAGGAATAATATAAATAATGAGTGAGCCTAACTTACAGATGACAGCTTAGCCTCAAGATCTGCCACGTCATTGTGTTTAAATATATGCTTGGGCACACGACTGTTTCTTATCCCTTGAATCATGGATGCATGGTTTCCTGCATCCGAGAAAATATGACATCCTGGGAGTGCTTGAGCAAGTGTAAACAGAGTTGAATCGTTGGCTACAAAACAGGATGTAAATAGTAACGCTGCTTCTTTTTGATGCAGTCTTGCCAGTTCGTCTTCAAGGCCCTCGTGGAAAAGAGAGTTTCCAGAGATGTTACGGGTGCCACCGGCACCAGCACCATGAGTCTCAAGAACATTTCTGCAAAACAAAAAAACACACTCAGGACATTGATGCAAATGACAGCAGATGGTTTCAAGAATGAATGTGGTCCTCACCCAACAGCAGCTTTGACCCCAGGATGGCAGCTCATTCCCAGATAGTCGTTGGAGCACCAAACGGTAATGGGCTTCTCACCCCAGCTGTACTCAAAAGCAGAGGGAAATTCGGTCGCAAGTCTGTTGACTTTCTTAAAAACTCGATAAGAGTGGTCTTGTTTCTTCCGCATAATTTGTTCATGAAAGAACTCTTCATACTGGAATTTTCCCTCTGGAAAGAGTAAATAAAGTCAAAATGGTCCAAATAACCAAAGAAAAAAAAAGAAGATAAATTGGAATATATTACAGAACAAGCATAAAACTGGCAGAATATGCAAAATGATGCAGTAAAGCCCAAAGCAAATATTCCATAACTGAGAGCCCACCTTCACCACCTGAGGTATGGCGGACAGGGCACTGCCCACTTTTGTTACTGTTCACTTTTTCTTCCTGCATTCCAGACTTTGATTCCAGTGAAGGTGCACTCTGATCTCCTTCCTTAACAACCCACACTGCAAGCCAAAGAGGCACTGATTCAAGCAAAGACCACCATATCCAAAATAACACCATTGATTACTTTTTTAGCATAGATATTTAGAGATATTTAAAAAAACATCTGCTTTGATGAGATAATAATTCATTTAGAAACTGATTGTCAGAGGCAATCAACCTTCACCACCAAGAACATTTGTCATGCATATGCATATAGTAGATAGATGGGGAAAAAAACAGGCAAGCATTTTATACCACGACCGCAGCAGTGCTTTGAAATGAATTTGTTGCAAGGATGCAACTTTGTATCCCTAATGTTAAAACCATCTGAAGAAATACCTGAGTGAGGGTTAGCAGTAGATTCAAAGACATCATCTTCTTTTCCTGCCTCCTTCACAAGAGGAGTCACTTCAGCAAGAAATGGGCATTTCTTCAAGGCATTGGCAGCTGAAAAGCAAAACAAACCATTATGGACTCGCTTAAGAGACAAGACGAAAAGTAAACTAGAGAAGAGATAAATAACATGCCTTCCTCATTCTTTGCAGAGCTGGAATCAGTGGATGCCGCAGAACTTGCAAGTCGGGAAACAACTGGGCAATGCTGTCCATATGTCTTGAGCAGGGTAGATCCATAGTTGCGCACATATGTGCTAGAGAGACGGGTTAAGAATGGGCAGGGCATGTTGTCTGATCCTGAAAAAAATTGTTCCGGACTGTTAGTGTAAATAAAAATAGCCGCATAAAAAAGGACAAGTAAACATGAGAAAAGAAATGCAACATTCATGAATGAAAATATGTATTACCTGGCAGATTCAAGCAGGATAGAAATTTCCGGCTTTGATGTGCCAACTGTAACAAATCAAGCAATTATAATTAGTTTCGGATATGGATGACTTGTATGAAACATAAAACTTTGATGCCATTTCCCTAATCCATACAAGGCAAAGGTTACAACATGAAATATTCCAAGGTGGCTATCAAACAGTGCAGACGACCCACAGCTGTTCCATGTCCCAGCACAGGAAATACCTTTGGTTTAAGCCACAAGTCATACAAAGCAAAAGGTATATTGTTAACAGAATTCAACTAAAATGAAATTTAACATCTAAAACAAATTGTCAATTAATAAAACTCACAATCGTAACAACTTTCTCTTTTTTTAAAAAGTAAAAGAAATTGATCGAACCCTTATGAAACTGGGCGGTGCCTTCCAGACTGTTAACCCGAAAACAAATGCTGTTTGCAGTCTGCTGGACAAGCTGGACAACCACGAGAAATCAAGAAAGTGTAAACGGAACAAGAAACGGGCTGAGGATGCGAATATTGGTTTTTCATAATAACATAATTTGTTTCCTAAGCTTTTGTACTCATACTATTGTGGCCTGACCCCTTCCTGAGTAATGTACTTGGAAATGAAAGTTTTCCTAGCCTGGCTACAAAATAACTGGCGGCTACGCTTAAACCGTTACGCGAAGCTAACCAGCCGCACCCCTACTTGCTGTTGATGTACGGTTGCCCCCCGCGGGATTGCGCAGGCGTTTTGGCAACCGGCGCACAAGTGGAGTGAGCGTCTGTCTAAATATTGGCACAGACTCACTAGTGACGCCGGCCGGTAAAGAGCAATAGAGCACACGACGCGACCGTCGGGTATGACGGGCACACAATCACCTCGACAGTCCCGTCAAAGCAGACGCTGCTGGCGCATACGGTTTTCTCGACCAGCGGAAGTTTCGGAACGGGTGTGCGACTGCGGGGACTCGATCCCCGCCCCCCGATAGCAAAGCAACACGGCGGACGCACACGACGGACGGACGCACTCTGCCACTGCTGCTGACCGCAGCTTACGGCTATACTTTGGCGGCCGCGGCGTGGCTGTGCACGGCGTGGGAGCCTACCTGCCTTGAACAGCAACGCGCGACTCGACACTGCGCAAAACGACACCAAAAACAAATGCGCTGACTCTCCAGCCCTCCAGGGTAGTCTTCCGCGCGCGAGGCCGAAGCGAGACAGCTCCGTGCACCAGCCTGCTTTCCTTGGTCTGCTCTGCTGACGCGGCTCCACAGGCTCTACAGCTTTGTCGCAATCTCGCACCTCTTGGTCGCGGCTGCGGGCAGCAGAGTTAAGCCCCCGCCCCACC